GGAACCTGCGGAGATAGGTGGGCAACTGAAGGAACCTGCGGAGATAGGTGGGCAACTGAAAGAACCTGCGGTATCACACGGTGCATCCCTAGGGAACTTGGATTCTAGCCTAGTCTCACTCTCCAAGAAAACGGCCTGGCCCAAGGCTCACCCCTGGGGTGCAGCCCTCTGGATCCCAAGCCCTTCACCCCTCTTGGGCTCCCGTCCTGTGACCACAGAACATGACTGTGGAAGGGAGGGACTGCAGACCCCCGCCCCCAACCGCCCACCTGTCCATCCCTAGGAAAAGCCCACGCTGCTCACTTTAGTGTCTCCGCGAGAAAGAAGCTCTGCTGCTTGTTGTCGTGGCTGGGGGTGCTACTGTACACGTCTTGGATCCCGGAGAAACCGGCTTCTGTCCGACAGTATTTCTCCAAGGCCTGAGGAAGGGGAAGAGGAGGAGGAAAACAGCCTTAACACGGGACAGGAAAGGCCCCTCAAGACTTGTGCATGCCTGGCAGGCTGGAGCTAGAAAGCAGACAGCACCCCAACCCCTTGGCTGGGGACTCCTGGCATTTGTGGGAACAGAAGATCAAATTATTCTTTCAGGGTTTAGCCACCTGTCCCCAGGCTGGAGGGGCCACACTCCCTCCCCCTACACCTGAGAGCTCCGGCCCGATGGGCTGCCTGTCCTGAGCTCTCCACCCGGTTTGAACTTAGAGGAAGCTTCTCTTCGTGTTTCAGGGGACTAGGCTGCTCTCACAGATTCACCCACAGTGGTAAGCAGAGGTGAAGAGAGACCACTGGTGATGGCCATGGGCTGGGATTTGGGGATGGACTTGGCACCCCAGGGATTCTCAGGAGAGACGGCCCCTGGGCTGGAGGCGAGTGGGCCAAGCCATTCATCTTTCTATATAAATGCATTTTTTTTTTTTTTTTTTAGACAAGGTCTCATTTTGTCACCCAGGCTGGAGTGCAGTGGTGCAACCATAGCTCACTCTGCAGCTTCAACCTCTGGGGTTCGAACAGTCCTCTTGCCTCAGCCCCTCAGGTAGCTGAGACTATAGGCGTGTATCACCATGCCTGGCTAATTTTTGTATTTTTTTGTATAGATGGGGTTTTGCCATGTTGCCTATAGGCTGATAAATACAATTTCTACCCACTGAGGGGTCTGTGGACTGGACATAGGAGCACAAGATGCTTGAGGGCCAAGAGCAATGGTCCTGGGGAAGCAGGTGGACTTAACAGGGCCAGTGAACCTGAGCATGCCCCAGACCCCGTCTGAGTGCAATGCTCGGAGTGGGCATGGGGGTGGTTGGGGAGATAGGGGCAGAGAAGGCTCAGCATCCACCAGGGAACCTTCTGGAATCCCCACACCTGCCTTTGACACCTCCCCCAAGAGAGCCATTAAATTTCCACCTAGGTGTGGGGCTGGGTGCTGAGGGCAGGGTAGGCCTCGAGGGCCAGTAGAGACTAGGGTGGGGGCTCCCTGGGGCTGGGCTGCCTGTGGGAAGAGGAGGGAGGCGGAGGTGAGCTGCCCAGCTTCGGGATCAAGAAAGCGTCTGTTGGGACAGTGGTGCCCGCGTGGTGCTCTAGACAGCTGCCTAGCCTCTGACCCTCTAAGTTTACTGAGGCCTGATCCCAGGCCCCAAGGCCATGGGCACTCAGAACCCTCTTCACAAGTCTGCCCTGTCCTGTCTCAGGACAACTTTGCCCAGCTGGGAACTCTTGGCTCTGTAACCATCACCTTGACCCTTTGCACTCTGAACTGTGGCCAGAGGTCAGTGTGGCTTGGACTTCCACTCCGTGCCCAAGCCAGGACACCTAGCACCCAGCCTGTCTGTGAATTCTCAGGGGGCATCTGGCACCTGGCTGCCCATCCCTGGGGCCCACTCACCAGCACCACCTCCCAGCCCCACTCCCTGTAGATGGGGTTGTGGGTCTGTCGCCACAGGTACATGTAGCTCTCCACCACCTCTGGCCGGAGGATGTAGTAGCTCTCGCTCAGCTGCGTGGCTATGGCCTCTCTGCCGGAGTTAAACCAGAAGGCCTCGGGCCCGAGTTTGGTGTCTGGGGAAACAGCCAAGCAGAGGCCCAGGTCAGTCCTCCCACCTCCTGCTTTTCGGGATCCAGGAGAGATGTCAGTTGCCTCGAGCCCACGGCCAGGGTGATGTCAGGGGTGTGTGGGTGTGGGGCGCCCCTGCCTGGACTGCTGCGTAAGGCTGCAGCGGGCAGATGCCCAGCTTCCCTCTTGAACTGGGCTGGACAAAACAAGATCCTCGGGGACTGGAAATGTGAGCAGCTTTGGACTCAGAGTCCAGATGAGCTACTCAGCAGTCTGGGTAGGTGAAGGTTTGGGCGGGGTTCCATTGACTGTGTACTATGAGGCAATAGCTCTGCAAGAGGTTAGCCAGACCTCAGCCAAGAGGGTTTCGGGTTTCAACACATCTGGGGAACCGAGGGTTAAACAAAGTGAGTCTCCCATCTGCAGATTTATCAGATCCTTTAATATGCTAACATGCAATGAGGCTTCTCCACCGAACCCTCTCTCTCAGAAAACTGCTTTTAACACCTCCCAGAACTTCTAGAGTTTGGGAACAGCTGAGGTGGAAATGGAGGGAAGATTGCCCAGGAATGCACCTACTTCCACAAAGGGAGCTGAGGAAGGAAAGCCCGAGGAAGCCTGGGTTCTGTTATTGTCACTGTTTTGTTTTGGGGCAATGTGCTGTCATTCTTGTTGTACGGCCATAATTGTAACCACCTCTGCAGTCACCGCGTATGATTTCAAAGGCTGTGCTGGGTGCTTTAATACACTATTTCAATTCTTAAAACATGGTTCTTTAGTAAGGTAATTGCTACTATCCCTCTCACGCAGGCGGAAACTGAGGATCAGAGAGGCTAAGTAATTTGCCCAAGGTAACACAGCGAGTTGTGGCTGAGCTGGGACTTGACCCTGGATGTGTCTGATGCCTCTCCTAGGGTGGTGCTCTTTCCCTCCTGGGTCTAACCCTCAGAGGCCCAGCATGTAGGGTATGAGGGCCAGATCCTTCAACCTTTAATGCCTGTCCCTCCTGTCCAGGTCACCCGAGTCCCCAGCTCCATTCCTAATGTGAGCCCTCTTCCCTCCCACCAGGGTTCAAAACCTTGAGAGGCCCTGGGTTGCTTTGACTCTAGAGGCAGGGGCTAGAGGTTTGCAGGACTTCCACTCTTCCACGGAGGGCTTCGGGGAAGAGGAATTAGCTAGACCCTAGCCTCTCGAATCTTTTCAAACGGCGTAGCAGCTCCTGGCCATCAGAAAACAGTCGTTTTGCCAAGTCGCTAGTGGGGTGAAGGCAGGAGCCGCTGCTGCAGGCGTCCACGGGACAAGCCGAGGCTGGCTGGAACAATATGCTCTATTAAGCGGCTGTCTTTTATGGTCTGGGCTGATTGTCTCAGACAAATAGTGAGCTTTTTATTATTCCTGAGATTTGTTATTTGTTTATGGCCCTGGCAGAGTGAGCTCTTTGAAGAGAATGGACGACCAGTTTTAAAGACCCATTGCGAATCTCTGACTTCCTGGAAACAGCTCCAGGAGACCCCATTCAGCTGAGGCGGGCACAGACACATCGCGGTGGACCGTCAGCAAGTGGCTGCAGTGCTGCTGGCAGAAGGCGGCTGCCAAAGTACTTTCTCATGGGACCCTGTGCCTCACTCTGAAACCTGTGTCATTATTTCCATCGAACAGATAAGAAAACAGAGGCTGCCCAGCTGGCAGTGGCAGAGCGGCGCTTGAGCCTGGGATTTTTACTGCAAATCTTGGCTCGTCCCCTCCAGCCAACACTGGGATTACCACTGGGAGCAGCGGGCGTCTCCTGGGACCACATGGGGGCCGGGGATTTTTCTGAGGGGTGTAGTTTGCACACGGGGTGGAACCAGGCATCAGAAGGCCTGGGTTCCAGCCCAGGATCAATTCCTTATCTGTAGTGTGACTTTGGCTAAGTCACTTCCCCCTCTGGGCTGACTCCGCTTCTCTGTGTAGAATGAGGAGCCAGGCTCAGGCTCTCAAATGTGACCTCTGACTCTAGCATCTGACAATTCAGTGGTGAGTGGTGGGTGGGGAGGACCAAGCTCTCAGGCTTTCCGGTGGTCACGGGTCAAAGAGGGTGACTAAACAGGTGGGAGCAGGAGGCGGTGAGACCCCCTCTGAGGAGGGTGCCGGGGGAAAGGCAGAAGCACATTCGAAGGCATGGGACTCAGGGTGGGACATGTGCTGGGCTCAGGAAGCTGCCGTTTCTGCCTCCAGAGCTGGAGGATCCTTTACTCCATGCCCCTCTCAAGGGACCTTGGCCAAGTAATTTCTGAGCCTCAGTTTCCTCATCTGTGTGGTGAGGTTCAGTGATGATGTGTGTCAAGGGCGGAAGAGCATCGGGTACAAGCAAAGCGCTTCCTGCATCTGTACTAGTTTCCCTTTCATTCAGGGTACAGTCTCGGAGCCTGGACAGCACATCTCTCAAATTCTACCTAAGTTCTAACGGGAGGCTTCCCTAAGGCCATGTGCTCCCTTGACTCACTGCTGCTGGTCTTTCCAGTTCTTCCTGGTGTCTAGCCTCAGTCTCTCCTGCTGCCCCTTCCCCTTGCAGGGTTACCTGAGCGGGCGTATGACTCGTGGCACGTCTTGGTGATCTGGGCTGCGAGCTCTCGGTAGTGGGCCCTCTTTTCTTCCTTGGCATCCTCGGCGCCAAGGGCGATCATGCCCCCGGAGAAACAGGCCAGGTGCCCCATCTTGTGGTCCAGAATCCCCCCTCGCCACTCGGCGATGTAGGTCAGCCCCCCGGGAGAGACATTCAGCAAGTAGGTCTCTATCGCCTGGGAGCAAGGTGGGGATTGGGCAGGGAGAAGGGGCGTGGGAGGGCACAGAGAAGGGGGGGAAAGGATGGAAAATGAACATTTTGGAGACAGTAGCAAGGGCAGCTCTGCCAAGCCCTCCATCCCAGGCAAAGGAGGCCCACTGATTTCTGCTGGTCAAGATGCCTGCCAGGGCACAGGAGGGGCTGCTATTCACTGGGAGGCTCAGACACACGGCAGCTCCCCAGGGCAAGTCTCTCAGTCTTTAAAAAATCTTCCACGTTTTAAAAAACATTAAAAAATATTTTAAGGTGATCCTCCTCCTCCTCCATTATGTCCTCTGTTTGATCTTAACCAGAAACCCACCGGGCCTGTGGACAGGCTTCAGGGGTCCAGGCCCTTAAAACTGCACCCAACACTTTTTAGTGGATGTGCATCTTTATGGGAAGAGTGTCCATCTCTTCTTCTCAGTTTCTCAAAAAGAACCTGCAGAAAATTAAGAGCTGCTCTCTACGGTATTTTGTCACACGTTTCCTCATTTAATGCCTACCGCAAGCCAGGCACCTGGGCTGTAGCGTCCTACACAGACAAATGGGAGGGGCAGCTTGTCCCAGGCCATGCAGCCACACCAGCCTAGAAACAATACCCCACATTGTCCAGAGCTCTGCTTCTTCCTCTACCCGATGGCCATGCCTTTTGGTGGGAAGGGAGGTGATGCTGTTGTAAAAACTCTGGGATGTCGGGGACATGAGGGGGTCACACTGCTGTCAGTCCCAGGAGCCCTGGGGACCCAGGGGAGGAAGGAAGCTGCTCACACAGCCTTGAGACCAGACTCCATGGGCTGATGGGGCCTGGCCCATGGCTGGGGTCCTCTGGGCCCCTTGCCAGGCCTCTGCCTCCACTCTCACCCCTCCAATCTACTCTCCAGGGGCTCTCTGTACTCTGCAATTAACACACCGGATCATATCATCTGCCTGCTTAGAACCTGCAGTAGTTTCCAAGTGCCCTTATGTGAAAAGACCAGAGGGGCCTCCAAGACTCCACGATCTGGACCCTGAGGGTGGACCTGATGCTATGGACATGGCTCTGGGGCACAGACTCGTCAGGTTCAAATCCCATCTCCACCAGTTCCACGCTGTGTGACACTGGGCAGGTTGTATGTTCTCTTTGTGCCTCAGTTTCCTAACGTGTAAACTGGGGATAAGAGCATTAACTGCCTCAAAGGGTTGTGAGAATTAAATGAGATACACCTGCAGGGCTTGGCCTATTTCCCAGCACAGAGCGAGTCCCCAGTAATTACTGGCCCCTATGATTCCTCTCTAGTCTGTCTCCTGTCCCTCCCTTCTCACACCCTACTTCACCCACACCGGCCTCTTTTCACTCAGGTACTCTCCTGGCTTCCAATATTCCGGGAGCCATGTAATATTTCCTTGGTGTCAGTGCTGTGCTAGGTACTGCGGCTACAGGTGTGCAGGAGAGGAGCCTGGACTCTGCCTCAGGGAGCTCGCCCATTAGTGCAGGGAATTCCCAACAAAACCAAATGTACACGAGAGGCGCAATTTGTTTTGTTTTGAAACACAGTCTTAGACTCTGTCACCCAGGCTGAAGTGCAGTGGCACCATCTTGGCTCACTGCAACCTCCGCCTCCCAGGTTCAAACCATTCTCGTGCCTCAGCCTCCCAAGTAGCTGGGATTATATAGGCGTGTGCCACCACCCCCAGCAATGTTTTATATTTTTAGTAAAGACAGGGTTTCACTATGTTGGCCAGGCTGGTCTTGAACTCCTGACCTCAGGGGATCCACCCACCTAGGCCTCCCAAAGTGTTGAGATTACAGGTGTGTGTCACCACAGTTGGCCCAGAGGTACCATTTGTGATCAGCATTTTGAATAAAACAAAGTGAGAGGATGAGACTAAAAAATGCAGGGGGAGGCGGGGAGGGGCTGGACACAGTGGCTCATGCCGTAATCCCAACACTTTGGGAGGCTGAGGTAGATGAATCACTTGAGCCCAGTAGTTTGAAACCAGCCTGGGCAACATGGCAAAAACCCATCTCTACTAACTGCACTCCATCCTGGGAAACAGAGTGAGACTCTGTCTCAAAAACAAAAACAAAAACAAAACAAAACAAAGAGCTGGGGTGGGGGCAGTGCTGTACTTTGCAGAGTGAGGTCTGGGAAAGTCTCTCTGCAAAGGTGGCATTCTTGAAGGCTGCATTTTTCTCCCTGCTTCGGGGCTTGGCTGGTGCTGTGCCTCCTCCCTGCATGCTCCAGCCCTGACTCTGCTAACTCCACCTCCTCCAGAATGTCACTTCCTTGGAGAGAACGCTGCAATTTAAACCAGCAATGCCACTGCCATTACTATGGGCCCGTCACCCTTCTACATGGTGCAATTCCTACTTGGCGTATGTTTCTGTTGTGTATCTGTCCCTCTCTCAGACTCTGAGTGCCGTGTGACAGCAGAAGCCACCACCAGCAGCCTCCAGCCAGTGCCCGACACACAGGAGATGCTCAAGGAACATTCGCTCACTCCTGGGTCTGTTTTTTCTTTTTTCTCTCCTGTCAGGGCCCAGGGCTGGTGGGCTGGCTGCAGGACCCACACTGAGTGGCAGATGGAGAAGCGCTGACAATGTGACATGCCAGGGCACCTGCTCCACATGGGGGAGTGCTGAGGACACCTGCAGAGCAGCCGGGCTGCAGGCGGGGGTCTGCTCTGGGCCCGGCCTGGTTCCCGGGCAGAGCCATGTCCCCGGCAGCTGCTCGGCGGCACTAAGTGTGTGGCGCAGGGGAGGAGTGTCAGGGCTCAGAAACCTGGGTCAGAGTCACCAGTTGTCAACACTTTGGAGAGAACACAGACATCTGAGGAAGACCTCAGGATGCCATACACCAGAGCTGGCATCTGCACCTTCCAGACCGCCTCCCACAGGTTATTTCCACTGCGGGTTGGCCCCAAGCTAAGTAATTGCGGTCAAGAGGAAATTATAAACCAGTGCCTCTTTGAAGACACAACTGAGACACGCAGATGCAAAGATAAAAAACAAGGCTTTTTAAAACAAAACACAAGACAGCGCAGGCTGGCAGACGACTGGTAAAAGGTTTAAATCACAGCAAGCAGAGGTGCAAGGAGCTAACTGGGGTGCAAGACCAGGGTTTATTTTTTTACAGTATTAACAAAAATATTTGTACTGTTCCTTGCAGAGCAGGGCTAACCCATAGGCAGTGAGCCCAGAGTGGCGAGGGGCCTGGGTTTGATTCTCAGCTCTGCGATTTAGGAGCTAGATGACTTTGGGCAAGTTATTTCACTTTACTGTAGACTCACTTTGCTCATCTATAAAATGGGAATAATGATTCCTGGATCGGTTGTGAGGATTAAAGAACAGGATATTCGAAGCCTGGCTCAGTGCCTGGCACTGGCTGTTCCTTCCTTTGCCGCCTGCAGGAGCCCCATCTGAGCACTCGTGGGAGGGGTTTCAGGCAAGCCAGGCCCCTCTGTGACTTGGCCGCTGGTAAGCAGAGGCCAGCCCACTGGATCTGGAGTTGGACCCGTATTTGTGTCCTCGCTCTGACACCTGCTGCTATCTGGACCTTGGGCCTTTCTGACCCTCAGTTTCATCATCTGTAAGATGGGGGCTAAAGAAGATGAGGTACTTAGAGCACTGGCCCAGAGGAGGCCAAAGTGACCAAAGCTCTCCCTGTTCTTCTTGTCTCCTGCCGTGACACTCAGAGGTGTGCCCAGTCTGAACTGTCTGACCTTCCCAGGCCCACCCCAGCTGGACACTGGTCTAACCTGGTGGTTTTCTGACCCCAGGTGCACAACAGAATTGTGGAAGGAACTTCTCTTTTTTTTCTTTTTTCTTTTTTTTTTTTTTT